GAGAAATTACTACTGGTTTTTTTTTAAATAATCTGATATAAAAGGTTTTTTTCTCTAAATAATAAGTAGGCTCCAATAACACAGGTTTGACAGTACTATAGGTCAAAAAAAAAATCTTAGCTGAAACACTTCAATTTGCACAAGGCATTCAGCCAGTCTCTATGGCTTCAAAACTGTGACATTCATAGTGGTCAAAGTTTACTTATGAATGCAGCAGTACTTACCTGGCTTCCATGACCCACAACACATAGAAAAAAACTTCAAAAAAGACCAATTTCAATGCATTTGGCTACCACCACAAACTCAAAAAAACATCTATTGCATTCGGTTGCCACCACAGGTCTAGATATCAATTTTTAATGCATTCGGCTGCCACCACACCCTTCTTCTTGGTACAGCGATCAACAGAGAAGAAGAAAGAGAAAAAAAAAAGTGTTTGAAACTTGCACCCAAAAGAAGCACACGATGGAGTCTTCAATCAGAAAAGTTTTTCCAGAAAATGAAAGAAAACTAGATCTCAGATCTGGAAAAGTTATGCCCAGATCAGAGCTCTAATACCATGTAGTTCGGCAGATCTAGAAGAGAGAAGGGAGAAGAGAGAAAAGAGAGATTTGTTCCAAAAGTCTGTAGCTTGTGGCACCTAAGTTAATATTTATACTTAGGGTGCCAGCTCATAACTACACTGAGGAAAAGACAAAAAGACCCTTTAGTAGGCTATAGAACTTTACATACACATTATAGTAGGATGCAAGGTTTTTGTTGCAGGTGGAGTCATGAAAATCACACGTAGCAGTATGGTCCTGATGGAGGGAGAAAAATGCAAGGGTTTGTATCATCTGGTTGGGAGTATAGTGGTTCTCAAGACCTCGACGAAATGTTGGAAAATGATTGCGCAAGGTAGTGTGGCCACATGGAGGGTCTCTTTTGCGGATAGAGTGGAGATAAGTGTTGCAAGTTTCCAAGGTATAGATGATGGTGAGAGCAAGATTCTTGTTGGAAGAGAGGAAAGATCGAGGTCCCTCTCTGAAGTTAGTTAGGATTGTTAGCTTGGGTACAGTTACACAAGTACATTTTGTTTGAATCATGAGGAGTCAGGACCAAATGATTCAAGTTATGTGTAGCTGGTGATGTTTTAAGGCCAATGGAGGTTTGCGGTATTTGCAAATAGGTGGTGGTACAAATAGTATATCTCTAAGGTAGTTGAAAAATAAGCCAAGGTGGAGATTGTTGGGATTGTGTCTTATTTTACAACCGCTGGATTAATTTTAATCTAACTGTTGGTGTGGTTCCTCTTTAGGTTAAAGAGGTTTTACATATAAAACCTTTCTTTTCTATGTAGGGTTAAGGATTTTTGGGAGAAAATGTGTGAAAGAATAATACAAAGTGCTCTTGGTGTGAGAGTGAATTTTTCTCATGTTTTTGTTCTTCGGATTGAGAGGAAAGGGAGAACGGGTGTACAAGGGTAAGGGTTGGTTTGGCTGCAAACTACAAGGTACTTGTATTGTTCTTAGTTTTCTTTCATAGTGAAGAACATATTTCGTTTCTCCCATGGACGTAGGCAGTAAGGCTGAACGATGTAAATCTTTGAGTTCTTTGTGGCACGTGCTTTTATTTGTCTTTTCTTGGATTTTTTTTTTTTTGTTGCTGTTAGTTTTCTCATTGTTTCTATTTCAAATGCCTTGTTATTTTACATTGTGGGTAGTTGTTGTGAGGCCCCAACAAATTGTTGGGATGCACATGTGAATAGGTGTATGGAATGAGGAGTGAAAGAGAGTCCCACACTGGAATGACATAAGAAGTGCAAGGGACTAATATACAAGAGTGGCTTGTAGCCCACAACGCAATAGCTTGGGCTTTTGGGTTGTAAGTGGTGTCTATCTCTTGTGTACAAGTCTAGCACATGTGTATGTATGCGAGCCCCCTATTTTGGCGACTCCTCATGATTTGTGACATCCTCAACGCACAACAAGTGGTATCATAGCCAAAGGTTTGGCTGGGTGCAAGCATTGACAGATGAACATGGTGACTCCCATGGCTTTGTTCCCTTTCCCAATGGTCGAGTAGTTTGCTTGCGATGGCTCTCATGGCTCTACCGGCTCCCCATGGTCGAATGGGTTGGGCGAGAGCAGTTGGTGAGTGGTTTTCAAGAGCATGTATGTGGTTCCCATGATACCACCCAAGTTTACGTGTGTTCAGATAAGTAGTAGGAGGTGGTAGGCTCTCTATGGTTTTGAACAAAGGCTCTTGGTATTGTGCATGCAGTGTAGCATGGTACATGTCAAGCTTGGTGATCGACTTCCGTTCGAGGGGGAGTGGTTAAAGAAACTCACATGTGAGGGGAAAAATGTTGGGATACACATGTGAGTAGGTTATGGAATGAGGAGTGAAAAAGAGTCCCACATTGGAAATACACAAGAAGTGCAAGGGACTAATATACAAGAGTGGCCCATAACCCAATTGCTTGGGCTTTTGGGTTGTAAGTGGTGCTCATCTCTTGTATACAAGTCTAACGCATGTGTGTGTGCGAGCCCCCTGTTTTGGCAACTCCTCATGGTTCATGACACCCTCAAGGCACAACAGAATCTTGGGGGTTGTTTAGTGTGTATAGAGTAATACCAATTATCTCTATTTATAGTAGATCAAGGAAACAACTTCTACAAGCATTCTCAAGAAGTTTTAACTTTTTTCCAATGAAATAAATGGAAATCTTTGAAAACTATGATGAGCAAGGGCGGAGCCATGGGACCCAGGGGAGTTATGCCCCCTGGCCCAAAAAATCCCCACTCTTCATGTATATTTTCCCCTTCTACCACTCCCCACTCCAATGGTTGGCCCCCATGGCCATCCATATTTATTCTCCCTGCTCCCCCATTCCACTTAGATTTTTCCCTCCCCTCTCATAAAAAAACTCATGGCTCCGCCCTCATGATGAAGGTGATGGGACTTCAGAGAATTATATCAAAAATCATTGTTTGATTAATAGTGACTCAGGACATAGGCACCAGCTGGACGAATCTAGATAAGACTCAGATGGGAGAAGGACTCCCTCTTCCAATATGTGGGGCCCCTATGGGGTATTGCAAGGCAAGCATGAATACAACATTTTTTATCAACGCAACATGAAAAAGAAAGAACCTAAGGCATTAGCAATAAATAAATACAAGGATATTCACCACAAGAAGATTCCCTTTTTTATATTATTTATTATTTATTTTATTTACCTATTTATTTATTTGTATTTATGCATAAAGAGATAAACATAAAGGAGGAAAGGGGGAAAATATAATACATATACAAAAAAACATAAAAAACAAAATAATATATTATTTACTTATTTTTCTTTTATGTATTTATGTATTTTTTGAAGACACCTTATTCAAGATAAGAAGGATAGGGGCATTTTAACAGCAAAAATTAAGGAGATAAGTCCTCAAAATAAGGAATGCTAAATGCAGCCTTAATAGTCAAGCACAGGGACTTTATTAAAACAAAAATTCATTATTTTGACAATTTGAAGTGATTATAATCATATTATCATTTCTTTAACTAGTAATTAATAAATATTTTCTTTTCTTTTCTTTTCTTTTATTTTTTATATTCCTCTCTTATTTGATCATCATATAAAAAGAAAAAAAATAATTGACGGTTACCATCATCCAGCTTAGTCCATCTAGTCCATTTAAGGGTCTCAAGAAAAGGGTATGTAGAAAAGAAACCAATATTGTGAAGTTAATGATTAACCAATATTGGTTAATCATTTTTTATTCTATACAGAATATTTACACTGAAAGAATTGAGGTATACCAATCTCCAAAAACTGAAAAGACCACATATGGACCTGATCGATACAGGGGAAAGTAAAATAGGAAGGCCTTCTTTTAACCTGTCAAAACTTACACAGTTACAAAAAAGTAGAAACAACTCGGTCTGTTTTTGTAGAATTTATCYTTAAACTTCTAAAAATTACCCAATGCTGGTCCCAACTACTTGGGGTCTTGGAACCTATAAAACATGGAGAAGAATGACTCTGCTACTGCTCAAGCTAAAAATCTCAAGGACATCCAGTGGCGTTGCCTTGAACTCAATCAAGCCCCCTTAAATTCATTAAACAAACTCAGTAGTAAAACTAAAGCCTGAAATTCTGTAAGGAATGTAAATTTATCAGATGAGAAATTTCCCAATTATATACTTGCAGTTGTTCTACTAAATCATGATCCTAACAATAAACAAACCATTATAATACATCTTAAAGATGACTTATCAGGACATTTAAAAAGAAAACGAAGATGTACATTTACAAAGTAAACCTCAAAATGGTACCCTCTTTAATTATTTCTGAACAGCACTTTGATATTTCTACAAAAAAAAAAAAAAAAAAAACTTTGAGATAATGATGGATAGTTTGTTGATAGTAAGAACTAAAGCTATCACTTCTGCTTGACAATATGGCAACTATATAAATGAAGTATATAATAATAAAGAAACAAAGTAAAGAATAGAAAGAAAGAAAAGTATGACAATTAATTCATCTTAATAAATATTTGAATACATGGATAGAAAACCTGAGACTATAAAATATTTGGGAACGAAGAAAGGAAGAAAATAATTTAATTAGAGAATATTAAGTAAAAGTAGTACAGTTGTCATTCTAAATAGGCTTCCGGTTATGCATAAGCGAAGTAACAATTCAAATTCACCTTCTTTCTTTTTTTCATTTAACATCAATAATAACATGGATAACCTTTTGTTTCAGGGTACAATGATGAGATGGTTCTCTCAGAATTTAATTTATTGAACAAATAGCAGAATTTTGTATTGATGTATAAAATAGACTTTTGTACAATTGTACTTGACAAAAAAAATATGGTGCCAAATGAAGAACAAAAAAGAATAAAAATGTATCGAAATTAAACCCAAAAAATAAACCATCAGCTCAGCCTCTTAATCCAGGAGAAACCAAAAAAGCCTGTCTCCTGCAAAAACTGAGCCTCCTATAATGCTTAAATACCATCTCCTGCAATGAATGGGTGATTCAAGAGCATCTTCGCTGTCCATCTCAACTCAGCATTCTTCATGAAACACATATTCAGAAAATCCTTGCCCTCGTCTGACATCTCACTGGGTACTTCTGGCAAGGAATGACCAGAGCTTATCTGAAACAGAATACAACTAATATCCGAACCGACTTTGCAACTCAATGCCGGCTTCCCAGTTATCATCTCTGCGACAGTGCAACCTAGAGCCCATATATCAGCGGGAGCCTCCTGTATGCCATCTCTAACAACTTCCGGCGACAAGTACAGAGGAGTGCCTCTCCAACCCCTCTTCAATTTCTTCTGCTGAACCTTCTTCGCTAATCCAAAATCTGCAATCTTTACAACGTAGCAATAGCTCCTGATCGTTCGCTTTCGGGAAGACAAAGTGAAGGCAAATGTAGAGGAAGGAACGAGAATGATATTGGCAGGCTTGATATCGCAGTGGACATAGCCACGAGAATGAATGTAAACGAGTCCTTCAAGAATCGACATCGTATAGCGCTTCACTTCGGATTCAGGTAACCCACCATTCGATCTCTTTATATGTTGGGCTAGAGATCCTCCAGAACCGTACTCCAGTAGCAAGTTGAAGTAAAACCCGTTGTTCCCAAAGGTGACTTCATCGCCAAAGCACTGAACGATATGAGGGCATCCATCTAGGTCGGCCAGAACTTCTCTCTCCTCCTGAAGCTTATCCGATTGAAGCATCTCCGCCCACTTCACAGCCATAATCGGCGGCAAGTTGCATCGACGTGTGTTGACTCTCCTCGTCATAGCCAGAGAAACCCTGGAAAACCCCCCCCGGCCAATCGTCTTCCCTCTCAACCATGACTCACCATTATTCTCGTAGTCTCTCTTGTCCTGAGGCTTCTCTTGCTGTTTCTGCTTCATCGCTTTCCAAGCTTTGTTCTACACCACCAAACAGCAGAGAAATAAAAACTCACTTTAGGGTTTTGATCACTGAAAACAGAGAATCAAGAAAAGCAAAAGACATTGCACTTACCAGAAGTAAGGAACGCGCAGTTCAGATCCTTGGATGATAGTGAAGTACGAACGGATAATCAAAACCAGCGAACCCCACTGAAGAAGAACCGAACAATCGAACAATTTACGTTGGTTTTTACAGAGAAACCAAAACGAGCGATCGGGAGAAGTAAAATGGACTCAGGAATCGAGCAGGATTCAAGTATCAGGGTATTTATTAGGTTTCACTGTCCCACTCCGACTCTAACTCTCTCTAACTACGCTTTCAAATTACACGGCAATCGGTTCGTTGGAATGAAATTAGGAAATGCTCGTAGCAGTCTTTGGGGGTAATATAGTCAATAGGTAATAGAAAACAACAAAAAATAAAGGGTACTTTGGAGAATAAGAATCCACTGATTCGGAACTTCGGACAACTCCGTATACAATTTCCAAACGATTTTCCTTTCACTGCCTGTCACTCGCCGTTGCTCCAGCACTCATAACGGCTAGTAGTGCTCGAATCGAATCTTTGTTCAATCTATGATGCCGAAAGATATGATATCGAGAGAATTTTGACCAATCAAAACATCCCGTGAATTTTGTTCAGATGATCACCCTTTCTTATGATATACCGTTTGATAGGTTGTAACAAGTGTACAACTTACATACACAACAACACTCATTGAAAACCGTCACAGTCACAAAAACGTAACTTTATAAATTAGATGGTGTTTGGAAGCGTGGGGGTTTTTTGGACCGATTTTCCAAAACAACGTCCATGCTTGCCAGACCCGTTTTTCACAAAAAAACCGCTTTGATATGTTTGGTAGTGTTTCTTCCACGTAGGCAGTGAACAACACTAATGTTGTTTGGTAAGGTGATTTTCATCACCATTTTTTATGTATATATGTGCACACTACTCAATATGATGGTGCACACTAATATCATACCATATTATATCACGATGCTTATCAAATGGTCTGGATTAATTGGATGGTTGTTTTATAATATCTGGCCTAAAATTTTAAACCCAACAGTTGAACATGTTGTTGGATTAGACCAACAACATCAGCATGAATAATGGCATCATATCCAACGGCTGTGAGTGATCCAATCACCTATTAGTACAAACAAAGGTTAAATGCTTCAAAAAGAAAATTCAAATAATCAATAAGTATTTGTTAAAATGTCTAACAGCGTTTCCATTTGTCCGCCAAGTTTGATAATAACATATTCATCCTATTTAATGAGCTTCAAGACTAGTAAGATAATTATTAGCCAAACCCAAATTAGAAGACAAATCAAGTTACAACCATAACAGGCGATGAGTGCAAAATATCTATTGTTTTGGTGTGGTTGTCTGGTAGATGAACTATGTTGGATAACTTCAGCCCTAGGTGTTCTATGGCAGATTCCACCATATTCATCTACCCATACAAATAAATCCCTCTGGTTACCCCTTACTAGGCAACGTAAAAACCATTGCCCCTAATTAGTTTCCATCCTTGCCATATGTAGGGGTGGCAATTTTTAACCCAACCCGCTGAACCCACCCAACCCACCCATTTACTTGGCGGGTTGTGTGATCAACACATCACCCAACCCAGCCATTTAAATGGGTTGGTTGGGTTGGGTTGTGGATAACCATTGGGTTAACCATTATAGACATAAGTGTTAATTCCTTAGCCTTTTTTTAATTTTCTTCATTTGAATTAAATAATTTATAATTAATGCAATAATTGACTAAATTTACTTTTGTCTTGAATCAATACACTTCACCCAACATAAATCCAAATCAATTTAACCCGATTCTGACCAGTTCAACGTAGTCTAAACCGATCCAGCCTATACTGATTCGGGTCAACTCGAATCAAAATAGACCCCAAGTAGGATGGTTTAATGCCGCTTACTCTACTCGATTTGGGCCATCCGGTCCAACCGATATTCACGCTCTGACCCGACTCAATACAAGTTGATCCGGTCGACCCGAATCTGAAACGGTTTTGGGCAGGATGATTCGGCCTCCGCGTGCTTTGCCCGATTTGGACCGTCCATTCGACCAATATCCACACGACCCGACCTGAATCCGAATAGACCCAGTTTAGCAACATTGACCCGGTTAGGGTCAGCCGGTCCTGTCCCGAACCCATGCACAAACCTGATATGGTCTGGTCCAAGTCAATCCACCATTGACTAAAGTTTGCTGCCCCTAGCCTCTCTTGAACCTTCTAGAATTAGCTGCCCCTAGCCTCTCTTGAACTTTCTAGAAGTTGCCACCCCTAGCTTCTCTTGGGCTGCTCTTGAGCTACAAATGGGCATCCTCCTTGCTAGGCTGAATATACTCCCTTGGAAAGTTGCGGCTAGGCTCTCTCTTTGGGCATCTCCCAAAGAGTGCAGCATGGCTTCATGGGCCAAATGGCCCTCCTTTGACCTCTCAGCTGGGATGAAGTGCTTCACTTTAGCTCATTTTTCTTGGTTTTATGCTCTCTTTCTCCTAAGTTAGTCTCCCTTGATCATTTCTTGAAATTAAGCTGAATTGGGGTAAAACTTTACACAAATCAGCACCAAAATCATGCATAAAACATCAGAATTTATATGTAAATTGTGCACACATCAAACACCCCCACACTTAAGCTTTTGCTTGTCCTCAAGCAAAGACATCAGCCATAAACTGATCACCCCCCCCCCTTTATTCTCACCATTCACCGGATGAATTTTTAGGAGGAGAATGCATTGAGTGGTTAGGAAACTTGTGTAAGTATTATGATCCATTCCTATGAACTACCATTCTTATCACATACATAAGAGCCAAAGAAGGGGAGTATGAGTTTCTTCAAGTTTCAGCTTTCACTCCCATTCAATATGTAGATTAGCTCCTTGACTGTCAAAATTAACTATCACTTTGAGCTTGGTCTCAAATCTATAACTGCACCCCATTGATTGTTCAATTGCATTTTGTTTTCCCCAATTTTTTGGTGTGAGTGCATTTGATGCTCCATCTCACACGGGGTATTTTCTTCTTTCTTCTTTTTCTTTTTTTTTTTCTTTTGGTGTAAGTGCATTTTATGCTCCATCTCACACTCTTTTTTTTTCTTTTGGTGTGAGTGCATTTTATGCTCAATCTCACACTCTTTTTTTTTCTTTTGCAGTTGTTGAACATCATGCATTAACAGTTCAGATGTGAACTAGCTCGACTGACCATTAATAATTCAATCAAGTGCCTTCATACACATGAATGTAGTTAGGGCTGGTCATGATGAAAGTCATATTCAGCTCCCTTAACCTCATGCATTGTGCTAAGCTGGATCATTCACAAAAATAAATGCAAACACATATAGTGGTTTCCTTCAACTCATTGTATTCCCTCTTTGAATTCACCTAATAAACAGCAATGATCTTAAGGGGATTTTCAGTTTATTTGGTCTGTCAATGCATGTATCTAAGTGCTTGGGATGACTGAGGTGCATGGCTACAACCCAACACCCCCACACTTAAGATGAACATTGTCCTCAATGTTCCTAGTGTTAGGGAGTAACAAAAAAATCCAGCAATGAAGGTAATTGCATGAAGAGCATTATCAATCAATGAGAGGGTTTAGAGGACCTCCCTGAAGTTCCTTCTGAATTCTGCAATAGCTCTTGTGATGGGAATCCTCTATCTGCTAAGAATCACATAAAACTAGAGAGAGAGATCAGCAGCTTACTTAATTAACATCCTACATAAATACAAACTAAACTCAACTGATATGAATAAGAAAAGCAGAAAACAAAAACAAAAGAGTTTATGACTAAAAATCTGAATTGGGTTGCCTCCCAACAAGTGCTTGTTTTTGGTCTAAAGCTCGACCTTCTAGTGAGGTGCTGCCCACTGGCCTAAAAACATCCACCAACCTCATCATCAATGACACCTTCCAAGCTAAAGCTGCCATATGTTCCCGAGACACCCTCAACAGTTTTTCTCTTTGCAAAGGGCTCAAATCTGCTGATATGATTATTGGTAGTGCCGATGGTGCCTCTAAAAAGGCATACTCTAGATGTGGAGGGGGTTGCTTCAGCTCAAGGGAGGGTGTCTCTTGGGTTAAAGGCTTGCTTATTGGTATTGGCGGGGTATCCAAGCCATCCAACTTGAGACACTCTTTCCCTTGAAAATGTGGATTGGTATTCAAGTATGCTGCCATGCCTTGCATCTTTTCATTCTCTTCCCTTGCAGCTCCTCCCTCTTGTATGCCAAGCTCAAGGGTGTTGGCCAACCTGCTAACCGTGTTTTCAGCCCTTGCCTTCTCCTTCACTTCAGTACTCCCTAGTAGAGTGCCCGGTATGCTTGCTGAAATCAATTGTGCCAACTACCCGACTTGCTTCTCCAAGTTCTTTATTGCTACTTCGTTATTCTGAAAACTGGTTTCAGCACTAGCTATGAACTTAGTCATCATCTCCTCTAGGTTAGATTTCTGTTCCGACTGATGGAAGTTTTGGGTGAAGGGCTTCAGCACATGCTGATTTGGCCATGACTGATTCGAGTATCCTCCCCATCCAGGGTTAAAGGCACAAGGGTACTGACTGTATTGCTACCTTGGAAATTGGCCATCAATGTTTACCTGTTCTAGAGGTTGCATAAACTGATTGCCAATTTGGCATGCAATGCTGATATGGCCTACCCCACACCAATCACAAGTCATGGACTGCACATGCATGGCTGCCATCTACATCTCATCTAATTTCTTGTTGATTGCACCTATTTGCGTAGATAGAGTTGTATATGTGTCCACATTGTGAAGACCTTGCTGCCTTCTAACTTGTGCTCTTTCGGAATGCCATTGACAGTTGGTTGTTGTCATCTCTTCTATCAAAGTACTAAAGAAACTAAAGTACACTAATCAAAGAAAACAATCTATCAAACAATTATCAATCCTAATCTAGCAGCAATTT